TTATCATGTGCAAAGGCACCATCTCCTTCCATCAGTGTCTCCCGTGGGTTCCTGCCTTACGGTTCTGTAGTGACTTTTAAAGCTGTAATTACTCACGTTTTTTTACAAGTTTCTAGTAACAACTGACAGAAAAAAAAAGTCCCGACTTAATACATAAATCCCATCAGGTTTCTCAGGTTGTCCTCAGGATGACTGAACTTAATTACAGCTTTCCTGTATGGATGTTCTTCACAGATGTGCAGAATCATCCTTGTTTGTTGTCAAGCCAGGATGGGGTTGGGAGCCTGAATTCTGGAGCTGGTTATGAGGAATGTGCTTTTAAAGCTCATAGATTTCTGTTAAATGTAACTTTTCAGCAGTCGTTTTAAGTTTGGGTGTTAACTTCTAATGTTTTTATAGAAGTTGACCAAAAAATTCAAATCCTTGGTGTTTTTTTGTAATGCTCTTTAAGCACTAAATGGGTCATTAATCACTTCATTTTTTTCCTTTGTACTATAACACAATATTTTACTGCTGGGTCATGTTGTGACTGATATTTTTGCTCTTTAGCTAGTCCAGTGTTGTGTTTATTTCCTTCAAAGAAAATATCCTGTCAGAAATTGAAAGTTATGTCAGTTGTGTTTGTAAATATTGTTTGTTTTGTAAATATTGTTTTGTTTTCCCTTCTGCTCCTGAAAGTCGCCTGAGTGGTGAAGGAGGCAAAGTATTCACTGCAGATGTCAGAAAACACTTTCCTCAGCTCTGCAAAGTGTTTAAGGTATTTTTATTTTTAATTCTGTTCTCTACACTCGAGTGAACAATAAAATCAGGGTCTTGGATGTGCTCAGGCAGCATCACAGGGACAAATCTAATCTTCCAGCCAGAACAGATACGGTGTGTTGTGGCTGCCTCTAGAAACACTTCAGAATTCCAAATATGCAGTAAATTTCAGGTTTTTTTAAAGAATGATGTGAAGACTGTTCTTAGCCTTTTTTTCTCCCCTGTTTTAGATGTTTAAAAACAATTGGAGAGTCAAGTGATAGAACATAACATCCATAACCAAAGTAAAGGACTTGGCATGTTTAGAATTTACTTCAGGAAAGATGTCTGAACACAGAGAGCAAAAATGTCTTCAGCACCTCAAATTGGCCTCTTGATTTGGAGTTTATGGAATCAGGAAGGGATTCCTACAGGGGTGCATTTCCCACCAAGTGTTTGCTTGTGACAGCTCTCCAGAAGTGCTGCTGTTCAGACAATTAAGACAATATTTCTCAGCTACTTCTGTAACCTGAGACTTTGTGGTTTCCTGTTCTTTTTCCAGGCACACATTTCTAGTCCAAACTCTGAGCTCAGTAATGCAGCATTGCAGGCCTTGGGATTCTGCACTTTTAATTCAGCTAATACAGCTGAATTGTCTGGTAAGCAAACAAACCTGTGTGTATAAATATGTACATTGGAGTTCTTTCTTTGTCTGTCTTGGCATTTATTTCAGCTTTGACCAGGTTTGCAGTTCCCAAGTGGTGCAGTGGCTTTGTCTCTAACATGAGCAGTGTGAGCTGTTCACTAGTTCCATCTTGTACACAAGGAAGGGGGTATTTTTTCGTGTTCTTAACACTGATTCTCTTTTATTAACTTCTAATTTCATTAAGTGCTTTAGTAGCAATTAGATTCTGTAAATACTTTTGTGGAGTTAGCAATCAAAAATGGAAATGAAAAAGAAATTTTGTGAAATAAGTAATCAAAAGTCCAGGTGGAAAAAGAGTGAAGAACCTATTTGTGTAGAATTTGGGTGTGCATAGCAGTGCTCTTCCATGTTGTCCACTCTTACCTGGTAATTCCTGGTTGTTAAATCATGCAGTGGTTTGAGTCTGAAGAGACCATTAAAGGTCATCTAGTCCAGCCCCAAATATTGGGCTGGTGGGTTTTTCAACTGAAACTAATCCAGAGTAATCCAAAATCTCATGACCTGCATTCCCAGAAAGTGCTAAATCCCCTTCACCAAAGGTTTTGCTGCTGAGAACTCGAGGCTTTGCATCCAGGTAAAAAAAGCACAGGGTTTTGGGAACAGGGGAGAGCTGATGGCTGGGTTGGCTGGTCCTTGGGAGTCCCTGTTACACATTCCAGGTGTTGGGTGTTGGTCCAGTTGGAATAGCACAGTTGGAAGCTGCTCAGTGTCACCTTAGTGGTGGTGGAAGAGGGTTGTTTTCCGTGGACACACAAGGAATTTGTGCTGTGCTGTGGCTGTTGTGTGGTGCCTCCGTGGTGTTGGGAGTCTGTGGTGCTGCTTAAATGCAAAGAGCAAATTGTGTGCAGTCAATCATTGTCTTTTTCCTTGTCCTGAGAAGTGTTAAATGCCCTTGGACAAATGTTCTGGAATGACCTTTGCTAGGGAGAAACTCAACCTGAGGCAAGACTGAACTGAACCATCTGTGTGGGTGTGCAGAGGGGGTGTTTCTCCTGTGACTGCCATTCTGTTGGAGATGGATTCTTTTGGTTCTCCTACTCAATTTTTCAGTGTGTCCTGCTTTCCTGTTATCCAAAATTTACTCGAGTTTCCTCTGAGAATGAGACATCTGTAATAATGTCTGTGTGATCCCTTTCTTTTCCCCCATAACTCGCCTTTTCTTTTAAACTTTTTTTAACCAGCTGATAAATTACAGTTAATTTTGTCAGGGAACGTCAGGCTCCAGAAATAACGAACTCCTGAGAACAATGGAAAGTTAGGAATGAGGACAAAGAGCTTATGTGCTTCTGGGTGTACTTCTGATTGAGAAAAGGAGTGTATTTGCCCTTAAGTTTCTCTGATTTTGAGATCATTTGCCCACAGAGCCCAAATTTGTAATAAATCAGACTTCATTAGTTTGGAATTTGAGAGGAATACAAGTTTCATCACTCTTTCTGATTACAAGTCTATGTTAACCTCATTAATTTTTGTGTACTGAGTTACAGTTTTACCCCTTTCTTTAATGATAAAGCCTCTTGTAGACCCTAAAATGAATTTATTGATGTCCATTTAGCAGTGCTCCTAAATTCCCTTGAAATCCAAGAAGTTTTGAATAGTTAAATGCTTAATCTTTAGCTCCAGTGTATTTAGCTAAAGTTGCCTTCTAGTTTCATGGTTCTGTGAATTCTTACAAAGCCAATATGTACTGCATTATTAGTATCTCTATATTGAAACATTTGGAGATTTTATTGCTACTTTATTTTGAGGGAACCTGCCCAAAAGTAACGTTTAGGAGGTTAAATCACTGATACTTATAAATGAGTGGATCTTTAGCAGTGTTAAGTGAGCAGAATGACCTGGACCTCGCCCAGGATTTGAGGGCTGTGTGTTTGCTGTGCTTCCAGCCACGGACATGCAGGATCTGCTCTCGGCAGTGAACGGCGTCGCCGTGAAAGCTTCCGACAAAAACACCCGCACTCGGGCACTTTGGGTGATCTCCAAGCAGGCCTTCCCTCCTGAAGTTGTCAAAAAGGAGGTGAGTTTTTTGCTCTTTCTTTTCCCTTTTCTTTTTGCTGGCCTGACGTGCAATCTCTTGGTCGCTCCGCTCAGTAGCTTTTTGAATCTGAAGGTCGTTTTCCGTCAAATTTCACAGCCTGAGTTCTTGGAAAAATTGAGCCAGAAGTTATTGCTTCCCTCGAAGGAGAGGCTGCAATGTGAGCAATTCTGTTGGAAACCAGTGAAACAGGGAGAAATACTCTGAATGTTCCAGTTTGCTCAGAGCTCTGACCTTAAAACGAGACCTGGCCTAATCCAAACACAGTCCTGGAAAATGAAATTTCATCATTCCGGCTCCCCATGGAATTATTGGTATCTAGGTGCTCACTCTGATGTTCTGTTATTCCCTCAGGTGTCCAATATTCTCTCTTCCCTGGAAACAATCCTTACCAAAGGAGATGTACAGTCTGTTGTGGTTGAATATGAAGCACTTAATGTCATCATACGGTGGGTGCACTCAGTATTCAATTGTTAAAGTAGGTGCTTAATTTGAGGGGAAAACTCTTGATAAACAAAAACTCAGTGACACTAAATATACCAAAGAAAAAAAATCTTAATCCTCTTTGAATTGTTCAGTGTGTTAAGGACTGTTTTCCTGCAGTTTTGACTGGGATAGAGGTAATTTTCTTCCTCGTAGCTGGTGCAGTGGTTTGGATTTGGGATGAGAACAGTGTTGATAACACAGGGATGTTTTGGTTGGTGCTGAGCTGTGTTTGCACCCAGTCAAGGACTTTGCAGCTTCACACCCCACCAGTGAGGGGCTGGGGGACACAAAAATCTGGGAGGGGACACAGCTGGGACACAGGTCATATTCCATAGGATGTGGCATCGTGCCCAGATGTGAACTGGGAAAAGCTGGTCAGGGGCTGGTGCTGGGCATGAAGTCAGGGGGTGGGAGCAATTGCACTGTGCATCACTTGGTTTGTATGTCATTATAATGGCAAACAATTGCCTTCATGATAATATGACAGTTCTGATGCACAAATTAGACAGTGTCCAGCTGAAAGTCTTGCTTTCATTTGTAAGTGGCTTGTTAGGAATTATTTCCAAAGTCTCAAGTCTGCTTCAGTTACATTTTGTTTCCAGAACTTACCTGGCTGAGAAATTCTCCCCCATTACATGGGGTTTTATTGAAACATGTCCCCTTGATGTTTTCCACATTTTCCTGCAGTGTTTCTCATAATACTGTTGAGATTCCTGTTTAATTCCAAAGGTGACTTTTTAGGACCAACACAGTGCATTCTCTTGGTCAGCAGTGTTAAAATATTCAAATTTTATCTTAATATTAGTAAATATGCTGAGCTTGTACCTGCTGTTATTTAAGTGTTCTCTTAAACTTCTGGCAACTGATTTGAGCTGCAAATCCATTTTAAAGTGAAACAGTTCTTTTAAACAGTGCTTGTCCTCTGACTTTAATAGAATTCCTTGAAAGGCAGAAGTTTTCCCTTTGGAAGCTGTAGGAGGGATAGTTTTGACTTACCTGAGTCAAAGGGGCCACTTGCCAAAATTCCAGTGTTTCTAGGGATGAGCTGGTTCCTCCAGGCTGGTTTGGGTATATGCCAGGTATTCCCATTTCTGAAAGTCTTGTTGGCTTGTGTGGGATGGTGTAAACATGTGGAATTGTTTGTTGGAGTTCTGACAACGTTGGAACCGTGACAGCTTTGGAATAGGAGGATAAAACAAAAGCACTTGAGGAGGGTGACGTGCATGGAGTCTGTGCAAACCTGGGCTGGAGTTTTCCAGGAGCAGGCCTGTGTTGTTCCCAGCACCCAGGGTGTGTGGGAGCTACCTGGGCTGCTGGGAACACCCAGGGATGGTTCATGTGCAAACCTGGGACTTGGGCATTGGTAAGGAATGTCCCTGTCAGGCTCTTGTTCAGCTCCTTTGCCCACATCACTGTGACAGAGCAGAAGGGACACTGCAGATGTCAGTCTGTTGTGCTTTTGGAGAGGTTTGTCTAAAATAACACCAGAGCTTTGCAGTTTTAAATGAACTGTCCAAACAGAGCTGCTTGGAAAAAATCTTTAAGAAGTTTAGAATGGTTTCCTATAAATCATACTTTGAATTAGAGCATTTATTGATATCACAAAGATAATTTGGTTCCCTGAAGGGTCTGTTGGAGATTTGTAATCCCTGTATTTGTTCTCTGGATCCAGCCTGATGGAGCAAACCCCAGCCCAGATGGGAGAGGAGGCTGTGAGGTGGGCCAAGCTGATCATCCCTCTGGTTGTCCACTCTGCTCACAAGGTGCAGCTGCGAGGGGCCACTGCCCTGGAGATGGGGATGCCACTGCTCCTGCAGAAACAGCAGGAGGTGGCAGCTGTCACCGAGCACCTCATGACCACAGTGAGTGGCAATGCCGTGGGTTTGGTCTGCAGGCAGCAGCAGGAGTGATGGGGGGTTGGTTGGTTGGTTGCACTTTTATGTTTAATTTTATTTACAGTCTAGATAACGGCAGCAAAAACATTCACAGCAACTTCGTGATGACTGTGGCTTTAATGGGAAAAATTAATGTACCAGCAGTGTAAATACAGGAGCAGTGTAAAAATAACAGTGTGTCTGGACAGGAACCATTAATCAGGAAAATAATTATTGATCAGGAAAATAACCTGCTGCTTTTTAGATGACCTTTAAGCACCGGTCTCAACAGCATTAACTTGTAAATGCTATTAAACTTCTGTCGTCTCTGCAAGGGAATTTGCTCACCAAATTCTGTCAGAAATTGGTGTGGCAGTGACTCATATTGTCTAGCTTAGCCTCCTACTCAAAATGGGCTTGAGGATGTGGTTGTTAGAGTATTTTAACTGTATTTCTTGTAGAAATGCTGTTTCTTTCTGCCTGCAGAAGTTGATTTCTGAGCTTCAGAAATTGTTTTCTGCAAAAAACGAGACTTTCGTGCTGAAGTTGTGGCCACTGTTTGTCAAACTGCTTGGGAAGGTAAGCAGCAAAATAATGAGTTCTACAGTCATGAATCTTCAGGAAAAAGAGTTTCTAACAGCATTAAAATACCTCAATTTTGACCTTTTTCATCCCCAGACTCTCCATCGTAGTGGGAGTTTCATCAACTCCCTGTTGCAGCTGGAGGAACTTGGATTTCGGAGTGGCTCCCCAGTGGTAAAGAAAATTGCCTTCATTGCATGGAAGAGTCTCATAGATAATTTTGCTCTAAACCCAGGTAGATTTAAAACAAAAATTAACCTGAATTATTTTGCTTACTGTCACTTCCCCTAACGGGAATAGAATATTCACACCTGGTGTGTCTGTGGTGTACACAAACACACAGTGGGATAGACATCAATAAAATTCAAGATGTTGGGTTTCTTTGTTGGTTTTTTTGTTTTGTTTTATTTTTAAGGCAAAAGGAACAGTTTGATCATTTGTTCTATCTTAATTTTTCTGCTGGAACTGATGGGAATAGAATAATATTACATTTGTTTTGTAATGCTTTAGCTGGTCCAAACAGCAGTGAAATAGCGAATAAAACATTCTGTACATCTTATTTTGGACTGTGGGGATTAACTGGAAAAGGACAGTGCTTCAGGATTGTAGAGGTGTTAAAAAAGTTGCTTTAAAGGTATAACTGAGACCTGAGCAAGTTGCAAGTCCAGTCTGTGTCAAAGCACAGAATATTTTGGTTTTTATCTTGATTGTGTTTCTCTCTGTGTTCTGAAGAGAGAACTAATTGTGGACATTCCTTAGCTTAGCTGAATTTATCTTTAATTGTAATTTTATTGTGTTTCTTATTATTTGTTCTGATAATTATTTCACATAACTTAATTAAAAGGTTCTATTTAATGGGAAGATAAAATCCCTGGCCCAGCTGGTGTTGGCTGTTCGTGTCCCAGGGTGGCTGGCCAGGATTTCCAGCTGCAGGAGCAGCTCCTATGGATTGCAGAGGGGCAGGTTCTGCTGCTGCTGAGCTGGGCAGAAGTTTTTCCTCTTCCTTAAACACTTGCACAGGCTTGAGCAAAGGTCTGTCCAGACCTGCTGTGCCATTTCTCCTGCAGTGGCAAATGATCCTTGGCAGCCTCAGATCCTTCCTTCTCACCCAGTGCCAATGCACATCCATGTCAAGTAAGAGTGCAAGGGTAAATTTCCCTCTAGTTTTGTTGGAATTCACTAGATTTCACTTCAGGGTTGGTAAGAAATACTTGTGTTTCCAGAGTTGTTCTAGACAACAATTAGAGCAGAAAGACAGTCTGAAAGCTTGGTGCATTTACTATGTATTTTAGTTCTGCAAATTGTCACTTGTTGAACTTCAGGCTAAAAACCCCTGTTGGTTTAATTATTTTCCTTATTTTTTTTCTTGCCCTGTGGTTTAATTGTTTGTACTGCTTAAAATATGCCTTTTTTTGGTCTTCCAGATATCCTGTGCAGTGCTAAAAGGCTGAAATTACTGATGCAGCCCCTGAGCTCGATCCATGTGAGAACAGAGGCTCTGGCACTCACCAAGCTGGAGGTCTGGTGGTATTTACTCATGAGGTTGGGAACTCACCTGCCTTCAAACTTTGAACAGGTAACACAACTGGGAATAGTCCTGGGCTGAGTCCCCTGCTGGTTACTCTAACATATTCCTGCCTGCTTCATCCTCCTCTAGGTTATTTGATTGATTTTTAGCTTATCTGGTTTTATCTTATGGAATAGAACTGCCTTAAGGAACCAAACTTGACTCCACATTTCTGTGCTCTCTGTGTGTCTTCTGTGTAGTACAGCAGAAATACTTGGGATTAAATGTGCCCTTGGAACCTCAAGTTCCAAAAGATTTGGGGGCCTGTCCGAAAGTCCTGGGAGCATCTCTGGAAATGTCCAGTGACTGCACAACAGGCAGCATAAGCACGTCATTTAAGGGTTGTTTTGCCCTTTCACCAAGAAAGGGTGTGCTTTGGAAAGTTTGCCATAGGAAAACTTAATGAAAAGACCATCAAATATTTAGGAAGATGGAGGGGAAAAATGATCCTGGTGTTTCATTACTGGTCATGTTGTAACTGCAATGATCATAATGTTTCCATTCAACACCTGAATTTCATAAAGTTAAACTTCAGGATGGGAGTAAAGAGGGGGGGAAAATGTACCTTAGAATGATCCAGCTGTATCATATCTACCAGGACTTTTTGTTTAATTTAGGCATTCCTGATTAATTTATCGTTATACATCTTAATATTAAAAGTACCCAGAAACTCTGAAACACCAATACTGTGAACAGCAGCTCTATGTGATGTTTGAGATGTGTGGTTTGTGGCTTGTGTGAGTTATAGCCATTTTCACTGAGGTGTGATCTCTTTGCAGGTCTGTGTCCCCTTAATCCAAAGCACTCTGAGTCTGGATCCTGCTGCTGCATTCCCAGGAACCCCCTCACGCCTTCCAGCCAACCAGAGCTTGGGCTCAGCCACCCCTGGGCAGAAACCAGGTACTGGAGGAGCAGCCTGTGCCCAGCTAAACTCTGGGTGCAGAATCACCTGCTCTCTTTAACATCTTCATGCTCTTTCATTTACAATGGATTATTGAAACCAGGAACTTTTCTGCAGAGCTCAGAGGTGGTGATTCACACTGGGGAAAATGAGGCTGTTCCAGTCAGCATTTAAAGTTTAAAAAATTGTGATCTCCATATTGCCAGGACCAGTTTTAGTGTCCTGAATGTGTTCTCTCTTACAAGGGAGCTCTGGTTTGAAACTTAACTTTTCATGTATTTATATGTGTGCTATTTATTTGTACCCTTCTATTTTCTGTAGCATTTTTTAGTTTTTGCTTGAATAGTGTAGAATCATGGAATGGTTTGGGTGGGAAGGGACCTTAAAGCCCATCCAGCCCCACCTCCTGCCACAGGTAGGGACACCTTCCACCAGCCCAGGTTGCTCCAAGCCCCATCCAACCTGGCCTTGGACACTTCCAGGGATCCAGGGGCAGCCACAGCTCCTCTGGGCAACCTGTACTGGGGCCTCCCCACCCTCCCAGTCAGGAATTCTTTCCCAATATCCCATCTAATTCTGCCCAGTGATCATGATGCATCAATAGCTTTGGTACTAATGTGAAACCACACCTCCTTGAGCTTTACATCCAACTGTCTGAGATAAGGAAGTGCCTCTTTTCCTTCTCTTTGTGGAAGCCTGGCATTCCCAGCTTGTGTCATTCTGACTGCTGTAATTAGGAGGCTCAGGTTATGTTGTGGAGGTGTCCTGGATTTGGAGAGTTTCCTGTGTTCCCTCCTTAAAAAAGTTCATCTTGGTGAGATCATAAGTGAGGTTGGGCAAAATGCTTTTGTTAACCCCCCCTTAGGAGTGTCTGGCTTTTAGAAGTCCCTTTCAGCCATCCCTATGCAATAGTTAGTTCTTTTCCTATGAGATTTTGGTCTGTTGGATCTTTCCTTTCTCTTGGAATGTGAGACAATGTGACTTCTCTCCCCTCTTTTAGGTCCTTACCCATTGGTGAGTCCAGCCACCCCGAGGATAAACCTGAATTCCAGCCCAGCAGGAGGGGTGGTGTTTTCTTCCATCCAGCTCCTGGGCATTGAAATGCTGCTGCACTTCCTGATGGGACCAGGAGTTTTAGATTTTGCTAAGCAAAACAAACTTGTACTCAGTTTAGGTACGTGAATTTTATATATTTTTTAAGTATTTTTGCATAATCTCATTGCCAGTTTTATTGGATTTAAAGATGTCTGTTGGAATGAAATGCTGTAAACAGTTAAAACTGTTAGCTGTCATCTTTAAGATGTGTTAAATGCTTATTTTTAAGGCTTATCTTACCAGTAAACTGCAAAACAACAGCTTTATGGATCATGTTTTTTTTGTTCTAGAGCCTCTCCAGTCCCCACTGATCAGCAGCCCTTCTTTTTTTTGTAAGCATGCCAGCACACTCATCAATGCAGTGCAGGATGGCTTTATTGCAATTGGAAAAGAGGTTCCTGGTAAGAATTTAATGATGGAATTTCATTATTTTCTGGGAAATCAACTGGGAGAGGGAAACATAAGAAATAAGCACTTTGTGCAATATCCTGATGTTACATTAAAGAGAACTGGCCTGACTTTGAAAACTTAGGTAATTTTTAGCTTAAATCAAAGTCTGTCTTTGAACACAATTTGTTACTTTACCTGCAATGTTATTTCATGTTTTTATTTTTTATTGCCCACTGAATAAAAACATTTTGCTGCCTTGTAGATTGTATGCTGAATGTTATATGGAAGGACATAAATGGATATGTAAAAACAGCAATTGAATCAGGTAAGAAGTGTCATGGTTTTTCAGTCTGTCATTGCTGACCAGTTAAAGGTTGTATGGAGGTTTTAAAACCAGACCATAAGTTGTTGCTTCCCTGCTGGTGAAGTTTAGGTTTAATCTTCATCAGTAATTGGGGTTTTTTTAAAGCAGTTTAAAAAAAATTTAGAAAATAACCCCACTTTAAGTCTTTGTAGAAATGGAGACATTCATATTACTCAAATCAGTGTGAAATCTTGGGTATGTGACTATGGCTGCCTTTTTCTGTAATTAAATTGTTTCAGAGTAAATTATGATGTCTTTACAGATGTATAAAATTATTTCCTCTGTAAAAAGTATCCATAATGTTGTAAAGGCTTTGCAAGTCCAGAATATTCTTAATAATGAAACCTTTTAAATTGAAAGATTTAACTGAAATGGGTGAGAGAAATGAAGAGCATTCCTTGGATGAATGCAAAGTTCCACATCTTCTTTTAGTATATCAGAGATAAGGTTGTTAATGATACAAAGGTTTCCATTTACTAATAAAACTCGGGGGTTTTTATTTAAACCTTGGAGTTTCAGTTACAGTGTTGTTCAGAGCAGGGACTTGGTTCTGAATCCCTTAAGTATTTGGTATATTTTTACAAATATACACAGATTTTTTTTTTGGTCTTGTAGTACTTAAATAGAAAGTTTTATTGATGGTCAGAGTGACTTGGTTCTGCTTTAACTGTAAATATTCTTTATTCCAGGAAATAAGAAAGAAAAGCAAGGGTCAGAAATCCTCACTATGTTGCTCCAGGCCTTAAAAAACATTGTGAGATCAGGCTCTCTTCCTGTGCAGAAAGTACTGGTAAGGATTTCTTTGCTTTAACAGTGTTTTTCAGATTTATCAGCACATTTGGGTCCGTGGTTCTCCTGCCAGAACCTTCTGCTTCAGAAGACCGAGGGACTTTTTTTGTTCTTTTTGCTAAAGGGAACCAATTTTTTCAATTTTGCTTTTATTTGTGGTGTTACTTAAAATATTTGAACCCTCAGAAAAATACATTTACGTGTATTTCTTTCTTTTCCCCTGCTTAGTCCCTCATTGATATTACTGTTAAGGAGTTGCCTCCAAAAGTATTGGGATCACCAGCTTATCAGGTCGCTGATATGGATCTTTTAAATGTAAGTCTGACTTTATTCCAGAGCTTTATTTATGCTGAAAGGTATTAGGAAGTCATAGCTGTACTTTATGAGACCCAGATCTTTCAGGAAACCATATTATTCAAAGTTCCAGAATGCAGACTTTGTTTCCAGCCCTCACTTCTGAGGAGTAATTTAGCAGTCTATAGATAAGGATGGATAGGTACTGGAAGTAATGATGGAAAAAGGATTTTTCAGGTTCAGGTCATGGTTTGAAATACAGATTTTAGGTACTTTGCAAGGAGACTGAATAGTTGAAAGGTATTTAAAGACTTTTAAAACTGGATGACCATCAGGTTTTCTACATCCACCAGTAGAGAGAAGGCAACTTTTTATTTTGCAGCAGTGGCAATAGAGGTTTTTAGCCCAACATTTACTTTATTAGCCAGGCATGGAATTGATTTGGAAGCTTTGAAGAGCAGACAAATATCTGAGAGCAGTCCTAAGTATAACAAGGGTAAGGAAATGCTGAACTCAACTGAGTAGGATAAAGCTTTGTCTGCTAGAACTGGCTTAAGAGCTCAACTCCCCAAATTCCTCCCAGTTCTTTACCACAAGTGCTTTATTTGCATTTTCTGACTTGAGTACAAGAGTCAGAACTTTATTAGGGTGGTTGAAGTGAAATGCATTTTGTTAATTCTCTGACATGATCCAACTTGAGATGCTTGTGTCAGATTTTAGCAGAAGTTGTCCCAAAGATCTCTTGCTGCAACCTTGAACTAAGTGAATCCCAGGATCTGGCAGCAGCTCAGATTTCCAGCTTTCATTTTTATTTTGAATTGTTAGAATTGACAATTTTGGACAACTTTTAATAATTGTAAATTTCTGCCTTAAATATAATATATAGGTAGAGATGTGGGGCAGCCATTTCATTTGATCAATGACTGTGTTGTTTTGACCTCTTAAATTTCTCTTCCAAGGGAACACCAGCTTTGTTCTTAATCCAGCTGCCTTTCCATAACAACCTCTTGGAATGCTGTGTAACAGATGAGAGGTATGTGCTGGTGCTTGGTTATATCAAACTTCCCTTAGAAGCCTTCACAGAAGGGGTTGGTTTTTTTCCTGAAAAAAATATCTGAAAAAAAAGACCTGTTGAACTTCCTTCCCCAGATTCTTTGTGATTCTGGAAACACTTGTGGGTTATGTCCTGTCTGGGCCCACATCTCCCCTGGCTTTCAGTGAGTCTGTGATCTGTGTCATCAACCAGAGCTCAAAGCAGGTGGAAAACAAGGAGCACCTTTGGAGAATGTGGAGCATTGTCGTTAATCCTCTGACAGAATGGATTAATCAGGTACAGTGGCTTTGGGTTCTCTTCCCCAAAACCCCACAGGGAAGCCTTGTGTTGGTCATTTATCTTGACCCAGAGTGGGTTTTACAATGATGATCATTCTTAAGTGCAATGTTCAGGATGGTTTGGAAGGCTTTTCTCCTTTTCTTAAGTTTATAAACACACTCATGGATGTGCTCCAAACCTTGATTCCTTGGCATAGTCTTGCTGTCCCAAAGCATGGAAACTTGCCCTCCAGGAGCTGAGGCTTGTTTGTTTGATGTGAAAAATGTAATAAATCCCGAGTTGGGATGTTCAGGATGTGATTAGACCAGAATTTCTTACTGATGTTAGACTTGTTGAGTGGAAGTCCTAATGGAAGCCATATAAACTGTCACATTTAAGGGGTTTTTCAGGTTCTTACTAGAAATGCATTGATTGTAATGTAGGAGTTGTTGAATTAATTAATCCTCATGTAGTTGTTGGACCTAAAAATCTTAGAATTTGTGAACAAAATTTTAGGTGCTCCGGCTATTTACAAGGGAATGTAGTGACAGGACACAGGGAATGTCTTCCCACTGTCAGAGGGCAGGGATAGATTAGAGATT